TTTCTGGGTATTGGATTGCCGAGTACTACCCTTTCGACTACCGCCTCCCTTGGTTTTATTTTCACTGAATTTGGTCATCCCGAAATCATCCCCTCGTTTAGACAACCAAGATGCTACAAGCTCGACGGCTTGGTCATCGGTCATTGTCGCCCAAAACCCGGCTGATCCCATAATTAGGAAACAAGACTTCCCGAGGATCCGATGAGTGATAATCACCGGTTCAGCAGTCAGGTACGGCGGTGTTTCATAATTTTCAGCTGGTTCTATTGGAAGGTAGCCATAGGGCCCTTGGGCGAGACGGCGTTGCAACCCCAGCGGCCATTTGTAGCGGCCGTCACCAAAAGACCGTGTCACCTGCATGCCAAAAATTCGTCCATCTCTGAAAATATCCTTTTCCCTTGCATGCTCTCGGTTAACCTTGGCAACTTCCATCTCGTTGCGAGGGGTCTGGTCTTTTGACAAGTCAATTTGCAAAACATTATTTGCATCTCCCTCTCCCAAAACGGCCTTCGAATTGCCAGTGCACGCGACTCGTAGGTATCCTGTAGCGGGATCGTATATGGATAGCAATGCACATGAACCAGAATTCGCGGGAGCAAGTTTCCTCACTTTGTCTTGTATCGGCTCATCACTTGTTTCTATAGCCGCAGCCGACTCGATGATGGCATTATCGAGTTTCATAAACGCCTTCCTGATAGCCATCCGAATCATTACCTCCGGCACAAACTCATCTGCACATTCGATCAAGCTATGTCGGACGAAGGGTAAAAGTTGTGTTTCTAGAAGTTCCGCTGTTTTGTAGCCATGATGGCCGTCGAAAATACCCCATGTCATCCATTCACTTCCGTCACCCTACGGCGAAGGGAATTTGCCATGTATGAATCGATCCTCGGCCGGGACAGTAGCGGCCAGCCGACCGATATCGTATTTGACAACTCCGGGGACGTTTTTGGCCATGAGAGAATATGCCTCTCCACGTACCGCGTGCGTCACTACTCGCGGAGAAGGCTCGATGATTAATTTATCAGTCGGCGGGCTATCATGGACAGGCACCTCAATAGGCTCGGATGGTGGCTGTACCGTGTTTAGAGACTGGAATGGGGGCGGGTTTGCCATGGCATAAACAAATGGAGAATGCTTTTCTTTATTGGAATATAACTTAGGGCAGCTATTCTTGAAATAAGTAGACTATCTCTCAGTCACGCATGCCACTATTCACCGTAGTATTAACACAGGCCTAGATTGAATGCTTACTTGCATATCCTATTCGCAACAAGGGACCTGCAGACCGATTTCTACCGGCCGAGGTAAAATGGTCGATTTGGCTCGTATTGCCGCGCTGCCTGTGACCATCTAGATGTAAGGCCGGTTGGGGGGAATGGTGTGTTATATCGATGGGAGTGGACAAACGGCGTATTGTAGGTGGAAGTATATATGGCTTTGAGAAACATCTCGGCCCAAGTCTTGCACTACGCCTACCTCATTTTATAAAGCGATGAACCCAGCCCAGGAGGAAAGCTCAATCATGAATGGTTGGAGATTGTAATACTGACGTATTCGAGCAGGCTCTACCTTGATAATTGAAGTAAGCTCGACTAGTATAGCTTGCCAGTGCTTTAAAGACCCAGGTAATAGCTCAATGTCCCTGAAAGATTATATGTCGAAATGGAAAGGAAGTATTGCTTATTGTTAACGAAAGCTGATGTGCGGGGCTCTGGAGGAAGCCCTTTTTTGTAGGTACTGACCTAGTGAAGCGAAAAATAAAGCTGAAGGGTTAATACACTAACGACTTAGCAATTTAGAGCCCAAATAGGCTAGATTAGCCCAGGACTGCCCATGCTGTCTCACTATCGCACTAGACCGCTACTAGTAAGTAAGTACTTACCTTAGGTGCCGTAGGTTCAGTAGCGACGCTACGCACTCGCCCTGTACAGTATGGTGTCCGTGATTAGCAAGTAACGGCTGAACAATGATTAAAGCTACTTAGATTTAAATCAAGTAATTAAATACCTCTGGAGGCGTTCGACGGAAATAAACAGTGTGTGAGTATTCATTCTATCAAGATAAAGGTGTTTGGCCTACACTGATTTCGGTACCAATTGTCGACTGTGTAGGGTATCGCGAGCACTAACATTGTTAGGTCCAAGAAAAGGGGTATACCTCTCTATGTCTCAGCCTTCCCGTAGACGGCCCTCCGGAGTTCTGGCAGTAATCAGGTGCAAATACCGTCGACAGTCCAACATAATATAATTGCAACTACAAGGCTTTCGTATGCGATTGCTACCACTTTTTAGCTCCTTCTGAATGCTCCGTACATATTGCTCAAAGAGGACCATATTGATGCTATAAATCATGACAGGTAATGCTGCTGGGCGATAGGAGTGTGGGGAATGGCCGCTGTGTTTGTTCCCAGTAGGGGGGAACCTCGAGTAGGAGAAGGCATATTCAGAATTGCAGTTTAACTGTATAGGGGCCACGGTCAGCAACAGGGGTTTTCACGGCCATTGTAGGTAGACGTTGAGAAGGCCCTATGCGTTCAATATCTAGCGTCTTGTATAGGTACTTATTCGCAAAGTCACCAAACTCGTGGGCATCACTCTTAGCACGTTTACTATGCCCTCTTACTTCATCTCACGTCGCACGACCACCGGGATGTCGGAAAGTCTCCCAAAACTCCCAACTCATGCCAATTCAGCCTCTATGACGCTTTCTAAGGACGACGGATGCTGCCATATCTTGCAGACCTTGAATCCAGCAACCCTTAGAATCTCTCTCCATCTTGCTTCTGTTCGCTCAGCTGCTGATATTAAATGCATGAGGCTGACGTCTGAAACGCATTGATATAATGTTGCACCTGTATTCACTAGTACACTCTCATACAGCAGGAGCTTCGAGTAGCCCTTCTTCATTGCAGAAGCAGTGTTGCTAAGAATGCGCCCTGCGTCAGAGTCATCCCAATCGTGAATAATTGCGTGTAAAAAGTAGGCACGAGCCCCTGGATCGCATAAGATGTGTAAGCCACATTATCATAACCCCAATGTCGGTCGAATTAGAATCGAGGCGGACGTAGCTCGGTGAATGGTTGGTGCCCAGGGACTCGTCTTACTCACCTTCTATAGGTTGAGGTGTGAAAAAGTCATGATGCATGGTTGCGATCTTTTCGTTCACTTTCGCCAACGCGATGACGTCCGGTGTGTCCTGCAGTATGAGCTTTCCGCTAGGCAAGTCCGGATATCGACTCAGTAGACGCTCAATATCTACGCCATGGGCACCCCCGATGTCGACGAGAAGTGGCACCGCCCTATTATTGTCGAAACCGCTCATGAGGATATCCGTATCATAAATCTCAGTCCAATCCAGCTTATAAGCTGCAAGCCCGCGCATGAATCCGATGAAACTAGCCTGATAATCCGGATTGGCGCGACATCGCTCGAACATACCTAGCCGCTCCGACGTCAGGTCCATGTAACTTGAGTTCCTTGGGTCTAAGGGTTCCGCGTAAGCTGTCCGCGCTAAGAATCGAGGTAAATTCCGGCTCGAATCGAGACCATGATGTGTTCTTTATCACGCGCATACACGTCAGAGCAATTGGGGACATACAAGAGGGAAGAAACTAGCACACTGCGTACCCTGATAGAATCGTTTGTGCGACAGTCTCCCCCGGCTGCCCTAACGCTTGTGAGAAGGTGGTGGAACCGTAGTAGTCTTTCCCGATCTCCTGAATGACGTGTTCAGCAGCTAGAAGGCGAAACAAGCGACCTTGTAAGTTTCATTAGTGGAAGGTCTAAAACATCTGTTCCAGGCTATAGCCTAATGGAGCGAAATAGCCGACTTACGAAGAAGCATCAAATCGCACGGTATCCGAGCTAAAGCGTGAAGATCGAGTAGCGAAATCTCACGTCGCTTGCTAAGATACCACGCCTCCCAAATCCCAACATCGAGGATAATTTGGACTGCCATGTGTATGTTGCTGTTGATCCACGATAAGCGCCATGCACGCTCAAAGGGAGTCTCAAGACGGGCGAGGAGTCGTCGCGCAGCTTCTGCAACGACTACGCGGTCGTCATGGCTACTGGACTCATCTCTGTAATCAGATTCCTGAATATTATCTAGAAATGTAATGAGCTCCTCAGTTCTCCTTGACGGCATCGTGGGTTACTGAAGATCTCAGAATGTGGGGACGTGGACATGGCGATGACTTTCCTGATTAGCAAGAATTAAGATGCTGGGGATCTCCTAGTGTATAAAGAGGGCTAGTGCCCGCTAGTCAAGCCTCGTTTGAAAGCTAGGCATAGCGCCGACAAGGCGTTATCACAACTCTCATTTGTGAAAAAGGTGGGATTGCAAGGGCATGCGATGATGGATCTCATCGAGATTGAGCCATTGGGTGATGCCACGCATCACTTTGAATTAGATTGTACGCATCCCCTGCTCACAAACAACCCCAACCCATTCCCTGTTTTAGAACACTGTGGCTTCTAACCGCGGGCCATAGACTGGCTCTCATCAATGTGATACCGAAACCAAGTGAAACTTTTGCAGCTCAGAATTATGTTCAACAAAGCATCGTAAACACTCTGTGAACAGGAGGAAACTTTTATGGATGGCCCTCGGGCATGGTTGATGATACACCAGTTGACAAAAGGGCATTCCCCCTATCGTGCTGTAGCTCCCACTACTACTCTAGCTTCGGCAGAGGTAATTCTTAAACAGCCGTGATTTGGCGGCTTGAGAGGCAACCATGCCGTTCCCCAACCACATTATCGATCATGACGACGCAAATAAGTCCATTTATATATGAGCTCACGTATTATGGTAGTGTATTACGAAGTTCCGAGGATTACTAAAACACTCAGACAAAGCCAAGTCTTGGCATTTTGGTACTATGTATAATTGTGGCTATGGTGGCGCGACTATCACTAACCCTAGCCCTACACTGAGCTAAAGCACCCTGCATATTTCTATTGAACGGAGAAACACCCCATCCAATCACTAAAATTGGCCTCGTGGCCCAATGGCAAGGCGTCTGACTACGAGAAAAACCATCTCAGGTGGGAACATTCAAGTTATCAGGAGATTCTGGGTTCGACCCCCAGCGAGGTCATCTTTTGCTATATTATTTTAGCTTTTTTTCTTTTTTCTTTTCTGCACTATTATGTCCATATACCTAAGTAGAGATAATCACACTTCGGCCCACAACCTTGAGCTGTAGTATTTCCTTAAGCTCACCTTGTAAGTTTTAAAAAAAACTTTTTTTTTAATAAAAATTTAGCTTGTAATTTAATTACTGTTTTAATTTATAGTTATAATTACAATGATTTTAAAACATATTAAAAATTAAGGAAAAAAAGTAAAAAACAAAAAAATTAATACTGAATAAATATTATTTTTATTTTGCTATTATAAAAAATAAGTTTAATAAACTTAATATAACGTATCTCCTAATTAACTTGGCCACCTAATTAAATAGGCCACCTTAAAAACCTATATAAAAATCGTTACTTAATTCTTTAATAACTTTACGAATATTATAGCTATTAAAGTGTAGTTTAAAATTCTAAACTAATAACTTAATAAAGAATTTAAAAAAACTTTTCCAATTTTCTAGCTACTTTATTTATAGCTATATTAAAAACCACGCTAAAATTTTAGCGCGGTTTTTTATAAAGCCTTAAATGAAATAGTAGTAAAATAAATAAAAAAAAATTTTGAATTCTTTATTAAGTTTTTAGTTTAGAATTTCAAACTATACTTTAATAGCTATAATATTCGTAAAGTTATTAAAAAATTAAGTAACGATTTTTATATGGGTTTTAAGGTGGCCAAGTTAATTAAAAGATGCGTTATACAAAATAATAATTTTATTATTTTTGTAATAAAGCTTAAATTTATTTAAAACTTTGTTTATTTATTGTTTAATTATTATTACTAATAATAATATGCTAATTTTTTAATAATTAGCTGTTTTTATATTAAAAAAACAAATAATATTTATTAGTAATAATAATAAACAGCAAAACTGCTTACTTTTAAAAATTAATGCTTTAAATTATTATAACTTATTTTTAATTATTTTGTTAAACTATTTTAAACTTTTTACGCTTTTTAGCGCTTATAATTATTATTACTATTAAAATAACGTTTATTATAAAGCTTATTTTGTTAAAATTATAAATATTTGCTTTATTAATACTATATTTAGCAATTGTATTTTATATAAGCTAAAACTATATGTTTAACGCGCTTAAATTTTTGTATTAAACTTTTTAGTAATTGTATTTGCAATTAAAACGCGTTTAAAGCTTTAATTATTGTTTTACAAAGTTAAAAGCTTATTGCTTACTAATAAGCAACGCGTTATAGTTGCAAAATAATTAATTAGCTATATTTTTTATATTATTTAATTTAAAAAAAAATAAACGTATATTTAAATTTAATATATATTAAACTATTATATATTTTTTTAAATTTATAAGTTTATATAAATTTAGTATAATATTACATTATAAAAGCTAACTATGTTGTTATTAACAAAAAGTATTATAATTAATTTTATAAATAGTAATAACAGCTTTAACATTTAAAATCGGGTTTAAATTTATAGCTTAACTAACTAAAATTATTTAACTTTTATTACTTTTATATAATATTATGTTGTTATAAAAAAAACGTAGGTTTAAAATAAAAATTATGCTAGTTAAGTTTGGTGTAGCGCTTGCTTGTTTATAGTGCTTGCTTATTAATTACGTTATATAAAAGTTTTATAAAAAAAATAAAGCGTACTAGTTGTTTTAAAGCTATAATAATTATATATTATAAATAACTTTTATATAAAACTAAAGCTTATAAAAAAGAAAAATAGTGTGCAGAGCACACTTAAATAAATTATAGTAATATAGGCAAACAAAATCAGAAAAAACATACTTTGATTAATGGTTTGGTTAGTAATGCACCTGAATTATAATACTGTTCAAGTAAGTAAACAGTAAATTCACAAGCCTTCCTTATAGATAGATAACTACAGGTTCCTTGTGTGCATGTTTACTATTGTATAAGTAGTTTGGGTAGTTCAATATCACCTCCGTTGAAACAGCAGGCCTATTATATCATATAGTAAATAGAAATCACCATGTAGACAATAGATTTCTTGTTGTTGTTGCCCCTCAACAATAAGGCCGCAAGAAATCAGTACTCAAGTTTTGAAATAACACTTAAGTCTACTTCCTAGTTGTTTTATCTCTACGAGTATATAAACACACGCCAGAAACCAACGATACGAAGCAATACACGAAAAAAAATCAAATCATATCCGACTTTCTAGAGCACTAGAACACCAAAATCTACAAATCACACATCCAGCACATTATTCATCACCAACTTCATTCTCCAAGCTACATACGACTCCTAAACATGTCTTCGCCTACGCCATCAGACGATTCAACTTCACTCAACAGTGACATAATTCCAAGCGATACTGCTAAACTACCAAGCACCCTCGGATGGGAAAATAAGCAGTACCCCCCTGGAGAATGCTACTGCTATTGTAGTAAAAAACGCGTGCACGGGACTCTAGAGGTTAATCTTTACAAGGCAAAAGACGGCTCAGGCAGATGGGTATGCGGGGGCTGTTACGACCGGGCAGGGGAGATAGGAAACTGCAGTTAAAGAATCAAGGACGAGGCTAATGATTCTATTTTCTACTCTCGGGGTCGTACCAAAAGGCAGTCGCAATGGTTGGGATGCCCCTTTTTCAACTAGTGTCGGGGACAGTACGACTGTATGCGGAGCAGGGCTAGCTAGTTGTTGATTGTAAAACCCTTGATACTCTCGTAATAAACATGAATCATACGTCCATCATTACTAACATTTTTGACTGTCTTGTAAAATAGTTTTTATTCTCAATACCAAATGTAGTAATCATTGTAACACGGACTTTGAGGGAGACTGGAGAGAGTAGGGTGGCATTTCGTAGGGCTGACCAATAAGTTTAATGGGACTGGGACAAATTCGCGTAAGGGAGTTCGTTGTTTGCCATGGAAATTCTAACGCTTAGCCTTGACTACAATGAAACTAGGAAAGATAAACCATCTGACAAGACCTTCTACGTTGCGTTTTCACCCTTCATCTATACCTAAATATAGCGATATGAGCTATGCGAATGTAATATTTAATGAGTGCATGGCGTCAACAGACATCCTAGCCCCTATTTCTAACGGTATATTTAAATACTACTGGCCAGTGGCCGATTTCGTCTCATATCCAAATTTTAGTTATATTCCATTCAACTTCCTCAAGGGCCCTCGGATTAAGCCTACGAAGCTCTTCGCAACCAGCTTGTGCTACGGAAATCACGCATATAACACATCCAAAGATGTCAGTACACTCTATATCAGTTAGACATATAGTTACGAATTTAGACATACTGCCACATCTGTCCTCGTCTTCCCTGGTAATTGTCTCAGGGGATCAACTAGAAGAAATAATGTTGTAGCACCTCGGAGGATTTCATCCCCAACACTTGACGATGAGTGGCTCAAAACTCCTGGGATAAAGACACGGCTAATATCATGAGAATGGCCACTTACACAAACGGCCCAACAAGTACTATCCCGAAGGTTTTACGAATCGAGGGCGACACCTCGAAAAGTACACATTTTGTAGGGACTGTGATAATCGGTAGCACGTGCCCTAGAGTTTACTGGGGGTTTGTGTTACCGACAACTCTACTTTTCTCGCTTGTCTGCGTGCAGCTCATCGGCGTTCAGTCTAGTTAATATATGAGTTAAGGGCCTCTGCAGAGCGGACGAAAACCGTGGAAATCACCGACTCCATTGCTGAGATGGTTTGGAGTGGGAGATTATATTGTCGGCTTCCCCTCTTGGCTGGAATCAAGGACACAAAGGCCAGCGCTAATGAGTTTAGATTTCGGCTGGGAAGGGTTGTTCGAGGTGGTGACAATATAGTATGAGCAGGCTAACGAGCTTGGGCTTCACGGGAGATGGATTTTTACAAGAGGAATATGCGAACAACAGTTACTAGTAACGTGATGGCTAAATGCGTACTTGCAGGGTTGGCAAATTAGTAAGTAGTATTATTACTACAGGGTAGTATTACTAGGGTAGTATTAGTAAATACTACTTACTACTGTAGTATTTATTTATTTTTTATTTTTATTAAATTATATAATAAAAAAATAAAAAATATTCGATAAATTTCTAATAAATTCCATGTTTATTAATAAAGAATTAAATAAAATATAATAAGAAAAAATAGAAAATAATCGAATATTTCGAAATAAATCGAAACTTAACTTTAAATATAAATATAATATAATTTTCCAGCTTTAAACTTTTATTTTTATTATTATTAACAACAATAAAATTACAATATAATATTATTATATTTATACTTGTTTTTTATTAAAAAAACACTTTATTATTATTATTATTTATATAATAATAATAGATTTTTCATTTTATTATAAAAGCGATTTTACAAACCTTTTTTTGGATAAAAAATTAACTTAAATAAAGAAATAACTAATTTTAATACCGAAATAAATACTAAAAGTTTGTTTAATTTAAAAGATTATAATAATAAATCTTTTAAATTAAATAACAAAAAAAGTTCGGTTTATATATTAAAAAAAAGATTATATATTCGAACTTTATTACCTATTAATTTAAAAAAAAACAAGAAATGTTAATACAATATAATAAATAAGTTTATTTTTATATTATTTTTTTTTTTTTTTTAAAATAAATAACTAATTTTTTTTTAGTTGTTTTTATTTAAAAACTGTTAAAGTTAAAGGTTTTAAATTTTCGAATTTTATTAAACATTATAAATTTAAACACCTTAATATTATGTTATAATTTAGGTGTACTATTAACTAAACCATTAATTAAAGTATGTTTTTTTTGATTTTGTTTGCCTATATTACTATAATTTATTTAAGTGTGCTCTGCATACTATTTTTTGCTTTTATAAGCTTTAGTTTTATATAAAACCTATTATATAAAATATATAACCCATAACACAAGCTAGTTTCGCACACAAGCAAGTTTCGCACTTTTTTGGGAGTACTCTGTAAGCTAATTTTCT